TTCTCCATTTCTCTTTTTTTTCTCTATCCTTGTCATTTCTTTTTCCCCAAACCCTTTCTTTCCATTCTTTTCTCTTTTCTTTTACCCCTCTCTCTCCCTCCCTTCCCCCCCCCCCTCCTCTCTCTCTCCCCCCTTTTCTCCCTCCCCCCCTATCTCTCTCTTTCTAATTCTTCCCCCCCCCTCTTTCTCACCTCCCCTCCTCCCCCCCTCTCTCTTCTCTTTCTTTCTAATTCTTTCCTCCCCCTCCCCTCTTTTCTCACCTCCCCCCCCCCCCCCCCTGCTTCTCTTTCTAATTCTTTCTCCCTCCCTCCCTCTCTTCACTCTCTCTCACCTCCCCCCCCCCTTCTCTTTCTAATTCTTTCTCCCTCCCTTTCTCTCTTCACTCTCTCTCACCTCCCCCCCCCCCCCTTCTCTTTCTAATTCTTTCTCCCTCCTCTCTCTCTTCTCTCTCTCTCTCCCTCACTCTCTCTTACTTTTTCTGCCACCATCTCTCTTCTTCCTCTCTTCCTTCTGCATCTCTCCTTCTTTCTCTATCCCTATGTTTCCCCTACCCCTTCCTCTTTTTCTTTCTTTCCTTCTTTACCTATCTCTCTCTCTCTTTCAGCTCCTACATCCTATTCTCTATTTCTCTCTTTATTTCTCTTTCTATTTCCCTCTTTCTCTCTCTTTGTCTCCCCTCTACCCCCCCCCTTCTCTCTCTCTCTCTCTCTCTCTCTCTCTCTCTCTCTTCTTTCTCTTTCTTCTTCCCTCTCCCTCTTCTCTCTCTTTCTCTCTTCTCTTTTTTCTCTGCTCCATCTTTCTTTTATCTCTACCTTCTCCATCTCTCTTTCTTTCTCTATCATTATGATTTCCCCAGCCCTTCCTCTTTCTCTCCATCTTTCATTCTTTACCTATCTCATCCTCTCGCTGCTTCTACATCCTATTTCTCTCTCTCTCTTTCCTAACATCCCTCTCTCTACCTCATTCTCCTGTTGTCTCCCTATATTCTCTTTCTCTCCTATCTCTCTCTCTTTCCCTTCACAATTAACTTCAATCTATCCCTTTTTTTCTAGTCTCCTTCCCACTCCCCCCCCCCCTACAAATCGTTCTCTCTTTTTTTTCTTTTTCTTTATTCTTTCTTTTCTCTTTTTTTTGTTTTTTCCTCTTTTTTTCCTTGGCAGAGTAAAAAGGGTTTGGTAGGAGATTGTTCTAATTCAAAGCAGATGAAAAATGTGACTTGTTTGTTGAAATAAAATGTTTAAAACATGTTTCTGTTGTAGACCTGATGAATCTTTGCTGAGGGAAATATTCCAGGCGAGGCTCCTATTATGTGAGTGCGGTACAACACAGACTTATACATAACATTTGTATGCACATAGGGTAGGGAAGGTTTTCATCAAAAGAAATAGAGAAGAGGCTGGTGAAAAGATGCTAAATAATGATAATAATTATTAATGTTGTTATTAATATTATTCCTATTATTATTATTATCAGCATTTATTAATATTAATATAATCGTCATTTATTATTATCATGTATTATTATTTGTAGTAGTAGTATTATCATCATCATTTATTTTTATTAAATATAATAAAAATCCTCCTCCTCCCCCCTCCTCCTCCTCTTCCCCCCCCCCCCTCCTCCTCCTCCTCCGCCCTCTTCCTCCCCCTTCCCCTCTTCCTCTTCCTCCTCCTCTTCCTATTCCTCCCCCCCTTCCTCCCCCTCTTCCTCCCCCTCTTCATCTTCCTGCCCCTCTTCATCTTCCTGCCCCTCTTCTTCTTCCTCCCCCTCTTCCTTTTCCTCCTCCTCCTCTTCCTCCCCCCCTTCCTCCCCCTCTTCCTCCCCCTCTTCCTTTTCCTCCTCCTCCTCTTCCTCCCCCTCCTCCTCCTCTTTCTCCCCATCTTCCTCCCCCTCTTCTTCTTCTTCCTCCTCCTCTTCCTCTCCCTCTTCCTCCTCCTCTTCCTCCTCCTCCCCCTCTCCCACTAACAGAGCAAAAATTGGACGATTATTCTTAGGTCCGATTTTCAGACGCAAAATCGATCAAATTTCAACCCATGTAAGGCCGGTCTACAATGGCCCTGGTGTTATGAGTAAGGGCTCGTTCACACTTGACTCATTTCTAACTCTTCCCAAACACCCCAATAGAAGATTGACAGGCGTTTGGGAAGCATTTTTAACGCTCCTCCAAACGCTGTATGCACATTTTTGAGGCATTTTCCAAGCGTTAAAACCGCACCACAAATGCCTATAATGAAGTTCAATGGTATTAACGTTCCGCCTCCTCCTCCTAACCACCTGCCAGGCGTTTGAGGAGCGTCACAACAGACTTGAATGGGAGGCTTCAATTCCTCCTGACATGAGGCGTCAATTTTGCCGCGATGCGGACGCTTCAGTGAGAAACAGCGCTGTGTGCTGCCATGTGTAGAATTTTCATAGGCATTTGAGGAGCATTAAGAAATGCTTCCCAAACACCTGCTAACAAAGCTAGTGTGAACGTTGCCTTAGGGGGCTTAGCTTGTGAGCTCCCTGGGTGCAGGGGCTGATGTGAATGAATTGTTGGTGCTATATAAATCTTGTAATAACCATTGGTGTCCCTAGGCAGGTGAGGGGGGGTGAGCATGGCCCCCGTGACACCTACCACATGGGGTGACACCGGACCCGCTCCACGAAAAGGTAAGTTGTAAAGCAAGCCGACGATCCCCGCAGGATGGATGGGATCTGCGGGTTGAGCATAATGGATCAGAGTCCAATCCATTATGCTCCCCAATCCGCAGATCTAATCCATCCTGCGGGGATCGTCGGCTTGCTTTACAACTTACCTTTTCGTGGAGCGGGTCCGGTGTCACCCTGTATAGGTTACATGCTGATGATCACCCCCCAGGATAGATCGGATCTGCAGATTGGGGAGGATACTGGATGGGACTCTGATCCGTTATGCTCAATCCGCAGATCCCATCCATCCTGTGGGGATCGCCGGAGGGGGTGACACCAAGTATCATCGCACTGGGTGACACCAACCCTAGGGACTTTCCTGGTAATATCTCATTTTCTGTCCATAAACGCCTCCACTGGGACTCTGGAATCATGTTCATGTCACAAGCGGAATGACTAACAGCTTCCCGTGCCGAGGGAGCGCAGAAATAACGAGATTACAAGCGATTGCTCGCAGTCAAAGCCAAACTTTCCGTTCCCCAGGCGTGGAAACACAGCGGGTAACCTTCATAATCCCTTCAGTCAGCCGTTATTACCACCCCCCCTCCTCCGCCTCTCCCCCAAATAGGGGGCTTATGTAGACTGAGCAGAACGGATATGCAAATGTTGACTTCTTACTAAAAAGTCGACGGTTAAGCCCTCATGGCATTTCTCCAACCACTCCCCCCCCCCTGCCAGTGCCATATGCATGTAATAGGAATGGGGGTGGACATGGAGGCCCATCACTGGTAGCCTGGCTGTACCTTCTCTGCGTTGTGGAGGGGCAAGATGGCGGCACCCAACTGGGAAATATCCAGATCAACTTTGATAAGAGCTCGATAAAAGCCTTCCTGTGCTGCTGGGGGACCCCAGAATGCAGAGTGCGCTGTGTATGGAAATCTCAGTATGAAAGTGTTCCTGAACCCCCAACAGTACAATCAGTCTGTAGATGCAGGAATGCATGCTTGTTATACTCCCTGTGGGACCTAAGGGGTTTTCCTCTGCATTGTTTAAAAAGGCTGTTTGATCCTGTCTTCTCTGATCCTCCCCTTCTTCCAGTGTCCCTCTCTTACTGTATCTCCCAAAAGACATATCAAGTGGAGTCACACTGTAACATGCTCAGTTTGGTGTGTATTGCTAGAGAGGTTTTTTCTTCTTATTGGGAGAGTGCATGTGATCAGCACTGTCCAGACAGAGGGTCAGAGGTTCTGCATCCTCCTAGAGCAGAAATAAAACTTCACCTACCAGCTTTAACCCGTGCTCTTCTGGACACTGATAGAAGTCACAAGACTGCTATATACTGCTGATGGGAAAAGGAATTTAGAGTTTATATTTACTAAAATAATTGCATTTCCATGTTCTGTGTACTGGGGAGAGCGGATATAGTGAATGCGGGGTCCGGGGAGGGCGGATATAGTGAATGTGGGGTCCGGGGAGAGCGGATATAGTGAATGTGGGGTCCGGGGAGAGCGGATATAGTGAATGTGGGGTCCGGGGAGAGCGGATATAGTGAATGTGGGGTCCGGGGAGGGCGGATATAGTGAATGTGGGGTCCGGGGAGAGCGGATATAGTGAATGCGGGGTCCGGGGAGGGCGGATATAGTGAATGTGGGGTCCGGGAAGAGTGGATATAGTGAATGCGGGGTCCGGGAGAGTGGATATAGTGAACGCGGGGTCCGGGGAGAGCGGATATAGTGAATGCGGGATCCGGGGAGAGCGGATATAGGGAATGCGGGGTCCGGGGAGAGCGGATATAGTGAATGCGGGGTCTGGGGGGAGCAGATATAGTGAATGCGGGGTCCGGGGAGAGCGGATATAGTGAATGCAGGGTCCGGGGAGAGCGGATATAGTGAATGCGGGGTCCGGGGAGAGCGGATATAGTGAATGCGGGGTCCGGGGAGAGAGGATATAGTGAATGCAGGGTCCGGGGAGAGCTGATATAGTGAATGCAGGGTCCGGGGGAGAGCGGATATAGTGAATGCGGGGAGAGCGGATATAGTGAATGCGGGGTCCGGGGAGAGCGGATATAGTGAATGCGGGGAGAGCGGATATAGTGAATGCGGGGTCTGGGCAGAGGGAATATAGTGAATGCGGGGTCCGGGCAGAGGGAATATAGTGAATGCGGGGTCCGGGTGAGAGCGGATATAGTGAATGCGGGGTCCGGGGAGAGTGGATATAGTGAACGCGGTGTCTGGGAGAGCGGATATAGTGAATGCGGGGTCCGGGGAGAGCGGATATAGTGAATGCGGGTCTGGGGGAGAGCGGATATAGTGAATGCGGGGTCCGGGGAGAGCGGATATAGTGAATGCGGGGAGAGCGGATATAGTGAATGCGGGGTCCGGGGGAGAGCGGATATAGTGAATGCGGGGTCCGGGGAGAGCGGATATAGTGAATGCGGGGTCTGGGGACAGCGGATATAGTGAATGCAGGGTCCGGGAGAGCGGATATAGTGAATGTGGGGTCCGGGGAGAGCGGATATAGTGAATGCGGGGTGCGGGTGGAGAGCGGATATAGTGAATGCGGGGTCCGGGGGAGAGCGGATATAGTGAATGTGGGGTCCGGGGAGAGCGGATATAGTGAATGCGGGTCCGGGGAGAGCGGATATAGTGAATGCGGGGTCCAGGGAGAGCGGATATAGTGAATGCGGGGTCCGGGGAGAGCGGATATATTGAATGCAGGGTCCAGGGAGAGCGGATACAATGAATGCGGGGACCGGGGAGAGCGGATATAGTGAATGCGGGGTCCAGGGAGAGCGGATATATTGAATGCAGGGTCCAGGGAGAGAGCGGATACAATGAATGCGGGGACCGGGGAGAGCGGATATAGTGAATGCGGGGTCCGGGGAGAGAACGGATATAGTGAATGCGGCATCCGGGGGAGAGCAGATATAGTGAATAGAGGGGTCCGGGGAGAGCGGATATAGTGAATGCGGGGTCCGGGGAGAGCGGATATAGTGAATGCGGGGTCCGGGGAGAGCGGATATAGTGAATGCGGGGTGCGGGGAGAGCGGATATAGTGAATGCGGGGTCCGGGGAGAGCGGATATAGTGAATGCGGGGAGAGTGGATATAGTGAATGCGGGGTATGGGGGAGAGCGGATATAGTGAATGCGGGTCCGGGGAGAGCGGATATAGTGAATGCGGGGTCCAGGGAGAGCGGATATAGTGAATGCAGGGTCTGGGGACAGCGGATATAGTGAATGCGGGGTCCGGGGAGAGCGGATATAGTGAATGCGGGGTCTGGGGACAGCGGATATAGTGAATGCAGGGTCACAGGGAGAGCGGATATAGTGAATGTGGGGTCCGGGGAGAGCGGATATAGTGAATGCAGGGTCCGAGGAGAGCGGATATAGTGAATGCGGGGTCCAGGGAGAGCGGATATAGTGAATGCGGGGTCCGGGGAGAGCGGATATATTGAATGCAGGGTCCAGGGAGAGCGGATACAATGAATGCGGGGTCCGGGGAGAGCGGATATAGTGAATGCGGGGAGAGCGGATATAGTGAATGCGGGGTATGGGGAGAGCGGATATAGTGAATGCGGGGTCCAGGGAGAGCGGATATAGTGAATGCGGGGTCCAGGGAGAGCGGATATAGTGAATGCAGGGTCTGGGGACAGCGGATATAGTGAATGCAGGGTCTGGGGACAGCGGATATAGTGAATGCAGGTCCGGGGAGAGCGGATATAGTGAATGCAGGGTCCAGGGAGAGCGGATATAGTGAATGTGGGGTCCGGGGAGAGCGGATATAGTGAATGCGGGGTTCAGGGAGAGCGGATATAGTGAATGCAGGGTCCAGGGAGAGCGGATACAATGAATGCGGGGTCCGGGGAGAGCGCTATAGTGAATGCGGGGTCCGGGAGAACGGATATAGTGAATGCGGCATCCGGGGAGAGAGGATATAGTGAATGCGGGTATCCAGGGAGAGTGGATATAGTGAATGCGGGGGTCCGGGGAGAGAGGATATAGTGAATGCGGGGTCCGGGGAGAAGCGGATATAATGAATGTGGGATCCGGGGAGAGCGGATATAGTGAATGCGGGGAGAGCGGATATAGTGAATGCGGGGTCTGGGGAGAGCGGATATAGTGAACAGCGGGGTCCGGGGAGAGTGGATATAGTGAATGCGGGGTCCGGGGAGAGCGGATATAGTGAACGCAGGGTCCGGGGAGAGCGGATATAGTGAACGCCGGGGTCCGGGGGAGAGCGGATATAGTGAACGCGGGGTCCGGGAGAGCGGATATAGTGAACGCAGGGTCCGGGGAGAGCGGATATAGTGAACGCGGGGTCCGGGGAGAGCGGATATAGTGAACGCGGGGTCCGGGGGAGAGCGTGATCATAGTGAACGCGGGGTCCGGGGAGAGCGGATATAGTGAACGCGGGGTCGAACGGGGAGAGCGGATATAGTGAACGCGGGGTCCGGGGAGAGAGGATATAGTGAATGCGGGGTCCGGGGAGAGAGGATATAGTGAATGCGGGGTCCGGGGAGAGGCATATATAGTGAATGCGGGGTCCGGGGAGAGCGGATATAGTGAATGCGGGGTCCGGGGAGAGCGGATATACTGGATGGGGGTCCGGGGAGAGAGGATATATAGTGAATGCGGGGTCCGGGAGAGCGGATATAGTGAATGCGGGGTCCGGGGAGAGCGGATATAGTGAATGCGGGGTCCGGGAGAGCGGGATATACTGGATGCGGGGTCCGGGGAGAGAGGATATAGTGAATGCGGGGTCCGGGGAGAGCGGATATAGTGAATGCAGGGTCCGGGGAGAGCGGATATAGTGAATGCGGGGTCCGGGGAGAGCGGAATATAGTGAATGCGGGGTCCGGGGAGAGCGGATATAGTGAATGCGGGGTCCGGGGGAGAGCGGATATAGTGAATGCGGGGTCCGGGGAGAGCGGATATAGTGCAAATGCGGGGTCCGGGGAGAGTGGATATAGTGAATGAGGGGTTCCCGGGGAGAGGGGAGAGCGGATATAGTGAATGCGGGGTCCGTGGGAGAGCGGATATAGTGAATGCGGGGTCCGGGGAGAGCGGATATAGTGAATGCGGGGTCCCAAGATTTATAGTAACACTTTAAAGGGACTTCCCTATCAGGCCAATTCTAACATTTCTTTCCAACATGTAAAAATCTAAATTTTTTTTTTGCTACAACCCCCAAACATGATATATTTCTATCCCTGGTGAATACAATGGTGGGTGTTGCCATGTTTTATGTCACACACAGTATTTGCACAGCAGTTTTTCAAACTCTTTTTTTTTTTTTTTTGCACTTGGATTTTAATGCACACAAACATAATCTACTACCTAATTGTTTGGTAAAATATAAAAGACGATGTTACACCGAGTAAAACAGATACCAAACACGTCATTCTTTATAACTGCGTACGATCATGGAATGGCGGCAAACTACAGTACTTAGAAATCTCCATAGGCGACGCTTTAAAGGCCTTTACAGGTTTCCAGTTCAGAGTCACAGAGGAGGTCTGGGGCTGGAATTATAGGTCTTGTTATAACGTTTGCCACAATACCCTACATGTGTGGTGAGAACACCGTTTACATATGAATGCGCGACCTACGCATGCGTTTGGCTTTGCGTGCAAGCACAGAGAGGGAGGGGGGGCCAAGGCACTTTACATTTTTTTATTTTATTTATTTATTTATTTTTATTTTTACATTGTCTCTTTAATAGTTTTTGTCACTTTTATTGCTATCACAAGGAATGAATGATGCCCTTTGTGATAACCTGGGCGGTGACAGGTCCTCTTTACTGAGAGATCTGGGGTCTATTAGACCCTAGATATCTCTTCTGTCATTGAAAGCATCAGAGCCAACCAGGATCAGTTTCATCAGGCGCTTTCACAAACCAGTAATGACATCAGAGCAAAATCGGGAGCGACAAAATCCTCATCGCTTCCATTTCTTAGACCATAGAGATGATTGGGGATGTGCCGATCCTCGGTCATCTCTATGCAGAACCCGGGATGGCAGCAGAGGGGGGGGGGGCTTCTTCCACATGTTAAAGCGATCCAGAGGCTATTTAGCCACTCCAATCACTTTTAACCCCTTGGCGCCGGAACCTCCCGGCCCTTTAAGGATTTCAGAAGCCAGGAGGCGGGGCGAGGTTTTAGGGTCATGCGACCGCCGTGATGCGCTGTCACGGCGGTCACATAATCAGGAAAGGTCCCGATCGAAAGAGGAGAGTGGGACCTTTCCGCGAGTATCGGACACGTGTGCTGGGAGCGTGCAGGGCCCGTGTTCTCAGCACATATGTTTTTCTTAATTGCACGCAAATGTGCGGCTGCTCGGTGTCAAGGACCAGACGCCGGAGGCCGCACATTTGCGTTTGGTCGGCGCCAAGAGGTTAAAATACACAGCACTGCCCTCTGAAAACATTGATACCGGCATCACGTCTGCAGCTGCAGCCGTGGCCCCGGAGTAACCATTGAAACCCGAGGATGTACAGGGACAAGTGGGTAAAAAAGTGAATGTGGTTTTCACCAAACATTCACTGGGGGTGAATCAATCACTGTCAGTAACTTGAGCAGTTTGTCACAGCAGCAGTGAGTTTGTGAATCTTTTGTTGAGCTAGCTCCTGGCTTTTATGTACAAGTGATCAGGGGGCTATAGGGCCACCTGATAGCGTTTACTGGACTGTCAAAGGACTTTTCATGACCAGGCTTGTGGGTGTATCTGCACTCAGTCAGTGCATGCGACCAATCAGCTGCAACACTGATCAGTGCATTGTGAGGCATGCCATCAGAATATAATACCACAACGGGGAGGATTTCCCCATTGACCTCGAATGTGCGGATAGTAGACATGTGCGGTTCGTTTCGTTTTGAATCGCATTTCGGACAAATTTTTTTTTTGCTATTCGAAGATTCGGATGCATTCGAATTACAGAAGTAACGAATTTAAACATATCCGAAATAACGAAACAAAATTTGGCCAAAATTAGATTAGAAAACAAATGCAAAAACAAGATCGAACAAACATTCGAAGACAATGTAAAGCAGAGCTCCACCCGAAAGGGGGAAGTTCCGCTTTAAGGACTGGGTCCCCCGCTCTTATTTATTATTATTTAAAAAAAAAAAATTTCGAATTCGGTTGAAATCTTATCGATTTTGAACAACTTTTCGAATTTCGTTGAATCAATCTCTCAAATTCTGGTTCGGACCAATTTAGAAGACGAACGACTTTTTTCGAACCTGTCTAAATGTTTTTGAATTGAACTCGAATACGAATTACCGAAACGAATTGAACGAATTTACCGAATCCAGCTACATGAGATTTGTCAGATTTCGAAAGGAAACGAAAAGTGAACAAATGATTTTGTTTTAGCACATGTCTAGTGGATGGGGGAAATCTGATATGGAGTAAATTGTATTGTCAGCTTGAACCCCGGGTTCACACCAATGCGTATGCGGGAAACGCTGGCAAACCCTGTAACGTTTCCTGCACCGCACTGCAGTCGCATCACGATACCATAAATCGTATCAAGTGATGGAGTCATAAAATTCAGGACAGCCCGAAACGAGATCGTGAAACGTGATTGCGAATGCCAGAAATCCGCAATGCATTGGTTGAGAACGCTCAAGTGAATGCAACTGAGGCGCGGATTTTTAAACCACTCTCCCATCCGGTTCCCCCATGTATAAGCCGCACGGCCAGACGGGAGCAGTGCAGGGGTGATGGTTGGCCGTTTATAAACATCCTCCCCACCCCCTGCTTGTCGTGCTCCTTCCCTGGGAGCAGGCAGCACCGCAATCCGGATGCCCGCTTGTGTTTCTCAGGATACAGCGGAACATCCGATCGCTGTATGGGAACCAGTGCGAGGTTCCCTGATCATGTGATCAATGATTGGCCAATCAGTGATCACATGAAGAGTAGTAAGCAAGATGTCACATTACTGACATCATAGCTTACTACGTGAGAAATCTGTGAATGATCACAGAGATCACATGGTACACCGGGCCATTCACAACAGCCTTGTACCATGTGACAAGCTGTGACCAATCACAGCTCACACAGAGAGTAAGGAGAAATGATTTCCTCTTACAGCCTTTATGGGTGTAAAGAGAAATCATTGTAAAAAAAAAAACCAATCTTCATCATCCCCCCACAAGTAGTACAGTGTTACCATGGTGACACTGTACTGCTAGGTGTGACAGTATGTATAAAAAAAAACATAAATAAAAATATAAAAAAAATAAAATAAAACTGTAAATAAATGTTGAAAAAATATAATTTTGGCTATAAACTAATTTGTTTTTTTTTTGTTTTTTGTTTTTTTACTAAAAAGATAACGGAATACATTTTGGCCAAGATTTATGAAGAAATAATTATTTATTTCAAAATATTAATAAGAACACTTTTTTTTTCAAAATGATTGGACTTTTCATTCATTTATATAGCAAAAAAAAAAAAAAAAAAAATCCCAGCAGTGAATAAATACCGCGCGCAACGCGATAAAGGCGCGTGCGCTTTATCAGTCCTAAAAAAATGCATAAAAAAGTCATATGGTTACAGTGTTGCATGAACCGCTGAGCAATTGTGCATTCAAAGTGATGATATGCACTGAAAGCTGAAAATGGCCTGGACAGGAGGTGTGTGGGGGGAGAAGTGTCCGGACTGTGAAGGGGGGAAATGGTCCAGACTGGAAGGGGGGGAGATAGTTTCCGGACTGAAGGGGGTGGAGAAAGTGTCCCCAGACTGGAAGGGGGGGAAAGTGTCCAGACGGAAAGAGGGTGAAAGTGTCCGGACTGGAAAGGGGGTGAAAGTGTCCGGACTGGAAG